TTTTTTTTTTTGCTATAGGGTGGTGCATTCACTGGAGAGGCATTTGGTATAGGGTCAGTATGCTTACTGGAGAGGCAGAGACAGAGACAGAAAGTGAGAAATCATCCCTAGGGGGATGGCCACATCACAATCCCTTCTCCTTTCTCCTCTTGGGATCTTGGGCATGTATGTATGTGTGCCTGGGGTGAGTTTTCAGCCAGTAGGTCCAGGACTTGAACCACTGTCGACTACATGTGAGTTCAGTGATGTAACCATTATGCTATCAGCTGGTTCCCCCCAGTGAAGACTTGTTGCTGTGATCCACTCCAACTCCAGCCAGCCCGGATCATGGGTACTCATGTGCCCAGTGTATACAGGGAGGTCTTTGGACTTGATCTGGGAACTTTCCAATGTGAGGCAGTCTCACAGAGCATTGTGTTTTACCCCTGCACCACTGTCTAACTCCAGAAACAGTTTTTTTTTTTTTTTTAATTTTATTTAATGAAACTAGTCCGAAGTGTTAGAGAATGTCATGGCAGATAGTTGCCATTGTTAATAACACAACTAACATTCAAGCCAAGGATGTAGCACTAGGATGTAATGATTACTTTGAGAGGGGGATCAATCACCCCAATGCCTTTAACTCCCTATTTTGTATCTGCGTGTGTGTGTGTGTGTGCCTGTGTGCGCCTGTGTAGGTGCATGTGCTTATGTTGGAAAACACGCGCATGTGTGTTCACACGTGTACAAACATGCACACGGGTATATACATATCTGCATATATGTGCATTGTGCACGTACAAGTGTGCCTGTGTGTGCGCATGTGTATTTGGGTGCATGCTCCATCACATCCTGCGTTGTCTTAGATTCTTTTAGAAGTCTCCACAGTTGACAGTTTCATTTTTGGCTTTTGTCCTCTTTTCCTTGCTGAGTGTTTCTCCCGGCCTTCTCAGCCAGTCCTTCTTTATTTAACCCATGTGCTATGTGTGCGTTGCTCCCATCCATGAAGTCCACACAGCGGCGCTCGCAGTGGTGTTGGTTGTCATCAAACTTCCCTTTCGGCTCTTTATTCCCTTACCTGGTGGGCCTGACTCCCACCGGATATGACCAATTGGGCGTTGCTGTGGGACCTGCCCTGTCCCACCAGCTCTCGCTACCAGCACCTCTGACTTCGCCCCCCGGGTGACAGGCTTCATGAAGTGGCTCATGTCCACAGTCTCGGTAGCAGAGAGAGGTGGCTTGGTTCTCTGTGTTGACAGCCACTCTCCTGAGACAGCACTCTTCCTGCCGTCCTCAAGGAGAAGGCTGCATGGCTTTCCTCTAGAGTCAACAGAGGCTCCCCCTTTGAAAGCACATTTTTTTTTTTTTGGAGAGGTTTTTGCTATAGGGCACGTGCGCTCACCAGACAGACAGAGAGAGACAGAGAGACAGAAAGCAAGAAATCACCCCCCAGGGGGGATGGCCATGCCGCAATCCCTTCTCCCCATTCTCCTCTCAGGATCTTGGACATGCACGCACACGTGCCCAGCGTGAGTTTTAAGCCACCGGGTCCGGGATTCGAACCACGGTTGACTACGTGGGAGTCCAGCGACATAGCCATTATGCTAACTGCTGGTCCTGAAAGCACATTTAAGGTTACCAAAGCACGCTGAGAACTCCGTAGTAGGGAGATTTACAGCTCCCTGTGACTTACGCTCTCAGTACCTGGGCCTGGGCTTTGACGTCTCCTTATCCCATTTTAAATAGGGGTATACATCTCATAGGTGCTGCAAGTACTTGTACAGCTGGCTCTTTCCTCATTCGTTTAGTAAGTGTGTAGTCTGCAGCTCCCAGGTACCAGGTACTGTTCTAAAGCTGGGGACTCTCAAGTAAAGAACACAGAAAAAAGGAATCTGACCTCACAAGGTTACATTCTATCAGGGGAAAATGGAAAACAGATTTATCAATTAATTAATTAATTGATTAATGGTTTATTTCTTTCCTCCATGAGCAAGGAAAGCCAGAGAGAGAAAGAGTGAGCGAGCACAGCACCCTTAACAGTGTTGTCATGCCATGACCCACCCCCAGCTCCAGCCAGCCCTGGATCATGGGCTCATGTATATACACCTGGCCTGTTCAGAAAGATCTTGAGATGCAAATTCAGAACCTTCCCAAATGGGTCGACCTCACAGAGCATTGTGCTATTACTGTGTTACTGGCCAGATCTAATTTATTTTTATTGTTTAGAAGATGATACTTGTTTTGGAAAAAATAAAGCATGAAAAGATATGTTAACAGTGCCAAGGAGGGAGCTTTTCACTGTTCAGTGCGGTTTCTGGACATCCTTATTAGGAGATAGCATTTGGGAAAAGACTTGAAGCAGGAAAGGCCTGCCAGGCCGAGGGAATACCCAGAGCAAAGGTCCTGAGGTAGGAGAGTACCGGCGGAGCTGGAGGGACAGTGAGGAGGTCAAGTGACCGAGGGCACGAGCAGGAGACAGGGTCAGAGGCTGGGGGAGGGCAGGCCTGGTACGACTTCGTGAAGATATTAGCTTTAATTCTGGGTCAAAGTCACTTGATTACAAAGCCTCCACTAACACTGGAATGATAAATGTGCTTGCCCACGAGGCTCGTGTAAGGATAAAGCAGAGTAAGAACTGTAAAACGCTTTGTAGAGTGGCAGGCACAGGCCGTACTCAGCGGGTGGCAGGTCGTCCTGGCCGTTCTTAGTGCTCGTCCTAGGTCGCTAGATGTAAACTCTGTAGGGGCAGTACCTGTAGGGTTGTTTTTTTTTTTATATATTCACTTTAACAATTTATTCCCTTACCTGTCACATAGTAAGCTGTCAATTAATATTCATCTAGTATTAATGTTATCATACTTTAATTAATTGATTAATTTTAGAGAGATTTTTGCTGTAGGGCATGTGAACTTGAAGGAGACAGAGAAATCACACCCAGGGGGCATGGCCATGCTGCAATCCCTTCTCCTCCATTCTCCTCTAGAGATTTTGGGCATGCATGCACACTCACCTGGTGAGTTTCAAGCTGTCGAGTCCAGGACTTGAACCTTGGTTGCCTATATGGGAGTCCAGGGACGTAACTGTTATTCCATATGCAGGTCCGATCATATATTTATTTTTAAAAAGCATTTGAGGTGCTCTATTTTTTTTTTTCTTTCTTTCCTTTTTCTTTTTTTTTTGAGAGATTTTTGCTATCGGATGCATGTGCTCGCCAGAAAGATATAGAGAGAAGAGTGAGAAATCACCCCCCAGGGGGGATGGCCACACCGCAATCCCTTCTCCTCCATTCTCCTCTTGGGATTTTGGGCACACACGCACACATGCCCAGTGTGAGCTTAAGCCACTGGGTCTGGGACCCAAACCACTGTTGACTATATAAGAATCCATCAACATAGCCGTTAGGCCAACTGCTTGTCCCAATGGGTCTATTTTCAATCTCTGCTTCTTTTCTCTTGGTTACAGAAGTATTGGGTTGTTGGAAAAGTCATGACATATTTTTTCATGTTTTTTCTATGCAAAAACGTGTCATGACTTTTCTGATGACCCCATACATATCTTACCTTTTGTATTCTCCACAGGGATTTTTTTCTTGGCATGACAATAATCGATATTCAAGTTGTAGTGCTGTGTGTGTTGTGGGAAGAACTCTTGGCTGGAAGTCAAATGTGTGACCTGGTGCTGGCTTTCTTGAGCAGTGGCTGGCCTGGGTTATTCAATTCCTCTGCCCCTAGATTTCCCAGCAGTGATATGGGTCAAGAAAAATCCTTCTCTAGTTCCGACTTATTGTGAGGACAGACAAGCTACTATATGGCAATGCTCCTTGACAACTTTAAATGGCTGTGTTAGGCAGTGTGACTGTCAGCCATCACCATGTGAAGGGTGGGTGCGTGTGCTCTGAATGATTCCTCTGAGGAGTGTTGATTTATGCTGGCCCCAGTGCCCCTTTCGAGGAGGCCTGTGCCTGTGTCAGCAGTGGGCTTGACAAGGGAGTGGAAGCCACAGGGTGTCTTTCCACCAGCAGGGTGGTCTTGCTGTGGTGACATCATTCTCTTAAGTTACATAATGAAAGTTTAGACTACCATGATTAATTTTTGTATTGATCCCCTGTAAATTAAATGTATTCGTGTATTAAATTTGTGACTAAGTCATCCTGAAATGTGTTTAAAGTTGGTTTCAGAAACATGGTTTTAAATGTCCGCTTTGTTGGGGCTGGCAGGTAGTGTGGTGGCTAAGGGTGCTGAACTTGCACATGGCTGACTGTGGTTCGAGTCCCAGACCTGGTGGCTTGCTTTTTTACTTTCCCTCTCTCTCTCACGTTCTCCCTCTCTGGTCAAATTAAAATGAGTGAATGAATGAAGTTAAATAAAATAATTCTTAGAAAAAATGTCTCCTTTGTTCTAACTAATTAAATTATTTTATTTTATCGAATACTTGAGGTGACATTCATTCTACAAGGCCTTTCTAAAAATGAATCAGAAGCAAGTTCACAACATTGTGACTGAACAATCAGCTCACATTCCTCCCTCATCATGGTTTTCTAAACTATCCGTCATTCTATCTTGATTTTCTCAACAGTTTTTTGAAAGCCCAATCATGAATCCTGTGTTCCTCTAGAGAGAAACATTTATGGAGCTCACAATTTTGTAGGAAGGGAAAAAAAAGGATTATTTTCGACTTCATAGTGAGGGCAGACTTCTCTCAGGAGCTGACACTCATGGAGAGGATTGGATGACATGCAGCAGAGGGACATGCCCCGTCTGGGAGAAGAACATTCCAGGCAGAGGGCCCAGCAGGGGCAAAGACCCTGAGAGGGAATGAACTTGGTTTAGACCAGGGGCAGAGAGGAGGGGAGGAGGTGAGGGTGCAGGAGAGGAGGGAGGCTCCTGGCAGGAGGCGACTTCAGAAGTCCCAAGAGTCAAGGGCAGTGCTTTGTCTTCTATGGAAAGGTTTTACTTTGACTTGGTAGACTGTGAATGTTTTAAATCATTGAGTGTTTAAATATTCTGTTCAGATTCTAATCCATGGACTCTGATCTGAAATTTTATAAAGGAAGAACTGCCAGTGACAGCGTAGAATTCATGTGGTATTTTGGGGCTTCCTTTGATGTCAACCCCAAATCCCTTAATATTCCTTAAGGAGTTAGTTGGAAATGGTTTGACGAGGATAATTAGCAGAATGAGTGGCTGTTTCACTGCGAGGAATTCTATCCATGTGTGTTTATGTGTGTGAACTCCTTTCAACAAGAGAATGGAGGGTCCCATTTCTCTATTGTCTATTCTGTACAGAATCTTATTTTGCAATCAGTTCTGAGAAACCAGGAGGTATATCGGAGGAGATCTAATTTTCTTTTATCACAGAAACACATTGTGATTGAATAAGCACTGAGAACACACTTGAACCCTTGTGCTGTCTTAAGAGGAGCAGGCAATCTTTCCACATTGCTTTGTAATGTGTCTCCACACACCAGCAAATGGCCATGCCGAGGTCAGCAGCAAAAAACTGACAGGAACATACTCTTCAGCACATGAATGCATTTTAAAGACACATGACTGAATTTTTACCTTCCATACCCAGTGGGTCACATCTCTATAATCACCTTCCAAAATGAGACGAAAATATCAATAAAATTCTGCTTAATGTAAGTCCTCTCCACATTCCCTTCCAGCTAGCAATTGTCATGCAAACTGAGCCCTGTGGAAGACACAGGTATGCACGTGTGTAGGGCAGACAAAATGGGCAGCTCTTTCTCTTGAGGAAATCTTGCAAGGTCCAGGTTGTGAAATAGGAGTTTCCAATTTAGATTCCTACTATCATTTGTCACGACTGACAGCTAAAAATGTCAAAGTTGGTGTCTTTGTAATGAGCGTCCATTTTAACTATTTTGGCCTCAGAAAATTCCTCTCAATACCATGTTCCTGAAATTGATGCCACTTGGGTTTTTGGGTTCTGGGAGGCTGTTCTTCACTATGTATTTCCTTGTGGGATGCCTGTTCTCTGTGGTAGGCTAATACTGGGGTGCCCTTGGGAAGCATACCCACTGCGCCCCAACAGCACAGGTAGGTAAGGGCGTGTGTTCCACAGGAACGGCATTCCTCTTCGAGCTGTAGATCCGAGCCACAGCGGAGCTGTAGCTCCGAGACACAGAGCTAATTTCCCACGATAGCACCACTTGTCTTATGAGGGAATAATTGACCCATTTATGGTCTCGTTTCAGCTTGTTGCAGATCCTTGTGCCAGCAACCCTTGTCACCATGGCAACTGCAGCAGCAGCAGCAGCAGCAGCAGCAGCAATGGCTACCTCTGCATTTGCAATGAAGGTTATGAAGGTCCCAACTGTGAACAGGCACTGCCCAGTCTCCCAGCCTCTGGCTGGACGGAGTCCATGGCACCCAGACAGCTTCAGCCCGTCCCTGCTACCCAGGAACCTGACATAATCCTACCCCGCTCTCAGGCAACGGTGACACTGCCAACCTGGCAGCCAAAAACAGGACAGAAAGTTGTAGAAATGAAATGGGACCAAGTGGAGGTGAGAATGTTTTATTATTTATTATATATGTATGTGTATATATATATATATATATATATATATATATATATATATATGTAAGAAACCAGAAATGTTAAAAAATGTGAATGGTTCTAATATCAGCAATAGAAATGGAAGACCTTTAAGTCAACCATTGAGCCAAACAATGTACCTAACCTCACTCCTGTCGGCACTTGGTGTGTACAATGGTTTGGTGGACATAAAAAAAGGAAAATGAGAAAAGAAGACAAATGAAATTGTTTTCTGGCATGATACTGCATACATTCCTGTAAGGGAATCTTAGGTTTTGGGTAGGCAGACCAACTTAGAGTCATATAAAGGAATGTATCATGGGGCCCTGTGTAGTTGACCTAATTTTACTTCCAGGAGCATGTCTTAGTCTGTTCAGGCTGCTATAACAAAAACATCACACACTGGGTGGCTTATAAACAACAAACATTCATTCCTCTCAGTCCCGGGGTAGGGAAGTCCAAGAACAAGGCAGGTTTGGTGTCTGATGAGGGCCTGCCTCTTCCCATATGGCACCTTTTCCCTGTGCAAGAGTGCCAGAGCTCTGGTGGTGGAAGGGCTTCTTTGTTTTATTTTGTTTTATTGTATTTTTTTTTTTTTTTTTTTTTTTTTTTTTTTCCCTTGTGGGTGAGCTTGGAGAGATAGAGACAGTGAGAGGAAAAGTGAGAAATAACCCCCAGGGGAATGGCCACAGACCACAATCCCTTCTCCATTTTCTTCCTGGGGTTTTGGACATGCACGCACCTGCGTGTGCACCTGGCATGATTTTCAAGCTTCTGGGTCCAAGACTCAATCCGTGGTATGTAGGAGTCCAGTGCTTTAACTGTTCTGCCACCTGCTGGCCCCAGAAGGGCCTCTTTGTGTGGGCAGTAATCACTGTCTAAAGGCCTTATCTAATCCTCATCTTGAGAGTTAGTATTTCAACATATGAATTTGGGGGAACGCAAACATGTAGACTATAGCAGAGTATTACATGCAACAATTGTGTTGTCATTGTTTAGTTTCTGTTTTTGATAGCTAGCAAATTTTAGTGAAACTTAGAAAAAAGAAGCTAATATTGATTTTTTAAAAAAATAATTGAGAATGCATTTGAGAATAAAATTTTCATATTATGTTCATTTTGACAGTGGAAAATTGTTGAAATCTGTCTCATCTGGATTTGATTGCTAGATATCCAGTCTCTTCAAAAGTCTCATTCTGAGGATGTTTTAGTAGACCCCTACAAGTTGACATGAAATATAAATTTGCTATTTAGAAGAGTTGGGCGACAAATTCAAATTAGGGTTTAAGGTTACACTGTTAGAGTGTAATTCCATTTCCCATCTTATACTTTATTCATATGACATCCATATAAACTTGTGGTCATAAGCTTAAACAAGAAAACACACAGATCTTTGTGTAACGTCTTAGAGTCAAGGAGTATGTCCAGAAATTTCTCTTGTTGTTATGTAAGAGGTAGGCAACATTTCTTGGATTTTCTTGGGTAATTCTACCCAGTTGACCCACTTTTTTTTTCATTGTCATGCAGTTTATGAAGGCCACATTCAGACTTCAGGCAGTGTTTCTAAACTAGCTAAAAAACTGCGAACTTGTTCTGATTTCAGGCTTTTAATAAATGCTCTGAAGCTATGATTTTAATCCCTCTTTGCTCAGTGACTCACTTCTTGAATGTGAACTAGTTTTGATTCCAAGTTTATCAAGGAAGTGTCCTTTAAAGAAACTTTCTCTGCTACCAGCCTTTCGATCTATTTGTTTAAAGTCACACTCTCCTACAGCTGGTAAGTGTCAGGAAGAAATGGCTTATTTTCCTCCTGTACTGTTATTTCTGAGGCTGTTCAGGAAGTTCACAGTGCCGGCGGAAGACATGTGCTGTGTTTAGGCTTCTCCTTTTCGTGAAGTGAGGATGCGTTGGTAACAGAAAGTTATTTGGAGCCTTAGATGACTGATCCTTATATTACAGCCATGGGGTACACCAATTTAACAAGTTAGACTCACCTTATTGATAACAAGTTGGTTATCTGTTGGAGGGGCTTTAGCCATAGCAAAGACCTCAGGGCATTTTGGAAAACAAGTGCAAAGTGTTGGATGTGGGATGAAATTGCGGAGACTCTGTAGTGCTCTCAGTTAATTTCATGGTGGTAGATACTTTGAATACCTCTTCATTTTCATTGTTGTGGGTGAAGACAGTCAACACAGTAGGAGGAATAAATAAATAAAAGTCAGAAGAGCCTCCTTGGGCACATCTCAAGGGTTGCCATCATTCTCTGATAAGAAGACATATTCCCTCCAGCCATAATTGAATTCTTTTTAATACACATCAGTATAATATGCACTTCGGGGAACACATCAACTAAAAATGAAAGTGTGGTCCATAAGAATAAGGAAGGGCTATTTCTCAGCTCCACGGCCTCAGCGTGTGCACCTGAGACCCTTCAGCAGAGAGGAGGGCCCTTCAGACCGGATACCTCTTGCCCTTCATGAGTTGGAAGGCTGGCTCGCCTGGTCATTAAGGCTCATTC